GAGTGTGTCGAATATTCAAATTTTCCAGACACAGCAAAGGCCTACGCATTCTAGGATGTACGTTGCGGTGCTGTGCTTCTGAACTTGGATTTCTTTTGTTCACTATAACCATGGGAGTGATTATTTTCTCCACAATAATGTTTTACGCTGAAAAGTCCGAAACATCTCAATTCAACAGCATTCCAGCGGCTTTTTGGTATACAATAGTCACTATGACCACACTTGGGTGAGTTTTGTTTCTTTTTAAATATTTTTGATTAAACTCATGAACTTAAAATACAATAGACAAATTATTATTTAAAACAATTCAGCTTTTTCAGCACGAAGCTAAAGACAACGTCGCGATCACAAAGAATAATATAATAAATTTGATTCATTTTAAGATCGAATAGTTTCGCAAAACATAATGAAAATTCAATTTTGAAATAACCAAAAGCTACCTTTCAGTATTCACTGTAAATAACCCTAAGTCGTAGTTTAATTAACGCAGTCAGTCAAACAAAAAATATCAGAGAATCATACCGAAAACACTACAATAGTCTTTATTATCTTATAAATGCAATAAAGAATGAGTGGACATAGATTAATGATTTTTCTAGTTGTTGAACTAGCTTGTTATTGTATTCACTGATTACCTCTATTTTGAAGCCTTCAGGAAAGTCTAATTGTAATAGACTTTTAAGCTCCGACGCAACTAAAAGTTGATTCTAAACTTTACTTATTCTAATGTACATTCGCGATTCATAAAACTTAAGAGTTATCTATCTATGATTGTTTTGTCACCTGAGCATAATGGGTTTCATCTTAATGTTTTGATTGTCAAATATAATGTGCTAAAATTATTGTTTTTTGTTGTTTATTGCGAAAACGAATTAAGGATTACAAAATTGCATTGATAAAACAAATTACCATAGCTTTTTTAATTGATGCTCACGTAAACTACATCCCACCGGTCACTTATTCAGTGTTTGTTGCGTTAAAACTAGTGTTTATTAAGTTTTGCTTTTGCAATGTTTTCTTCAAGGTATCCTTTGCTGAACAATTTTACGTAGGCCTTAAATAACAATGAGTTTGTGTGTGATTATTAGGTTTGGTAACAGCTATAATAACTGTCCACATTTTAAAATGGGTCATACTGTAAGAGTGTGTTATCCACCGTTTGTATATCTTTGTTTTCCATCCAAAGCTGTCGCAATGAGTGAAGAAATTAAAAAAATAATGCATCCTTCCAACAGAACCCATTCAATCATTTGTACGGGAACATAAACTCAAACAGAACCTGAAGGTAAACAAAAAGAAGATAAAAATTAAATGTAATTTATTGCTTGATCGTGCGGTTCAATCTCCAAAACGTATGAAAGCAAATTTTTTAATCATTAAAGTTTCGTTTGCATGTTGTCACGTATAGCTGTTTATTTTCAGTCAAGTTTCCTCATTAAACAAATTAAATATTTTTATTAAATAATTAGGTTTATTTTTTAAAAGTTTGACTTACTGTCGTTTTGTTACAATTATGACCTAATGGTAAAATATTGAAGCATAAGTAGTAAATTGTTTTTAAAGTAAAAGAGTCAATACTATAACAGAAATACCTAACACGGAAACAAATTAATGTTTGCACAAAAATGTTTACTCAGCCCGTTTCACAAAAATATGGCTCAAAATCTTATGTTATTACATAGGATTTTACTTCTATTTTACAACGAATTTAAAATTTCAGACTGATTAGCTAGTGATATATTGTTAACTTGTCATTGATTCCGGTAATTTTTGATCGATTAAATGGTTTATTGTTGGTTTGAAAAACAATACAAAACAAAAGAATTCTAATGTGTCTATTTACAGAGTTCTATGAGATTGGTGAAGCAAGCTAAAAAGAGAATAACAGTTAAATTGAAAAGTTTTCGTCTGGGAGGCAAGCTTAACCGTTTAAACACAAATAAAACTCTGCGTTAAAGAATTAACAAAGATATTATGTACATCTTATACTCTCTGCAAATTTGTCTTCAAAAACCGAATAATTCCAAATATTATGTCCGTAACCAGACAGAAGTACAAACATAAGGCGTAGCTAATTTCATTCTTAAAGTCACAACTGAGGTTAGCTGCTCAAATTTGAACATTGTACCTAAGATGAGATAAGCGCTGAGAACAGATAATAAACAGCAGGAAGAGTATAACAAAACTGGGTTGCGTTTTCATAAATCGGTGTGAATTTATCAAAGGTCCACTGTTAAACTGAGTCTTTTTCATGAAGTTTTGCTATCTAACTGAAGTAAACACTAGGAAAATATTTTGTTGATTTTTTCCAAAATTATAATTTTTGATTGAGATTACTTATATGAGCTTTGTCTATTTACATTGGATCTTAGGTGACTATCCAAATGCACACTGTGAAAACCAGATTATGACGATGCAGTGGTTGTTATTGTAAAAACTGGATAAGAAAATAAGGTTCAGCTGACTTGTCATACTTTTCATACATATGTAGTAAGAAACAGTCTGTCTGTGTCATTCATCAACAGCTTCATTAGGTAGTGAAACGTATTGAACATTTTGGACGTCTGACTCATTCCAAAGGGCTTACAGTCCGATCAACTGGGAACGAGCCCGCAATGAACCACGGATGTCACACCATTCTGCTATTTGGTGGGTCAGGCTTTGGTTGTCGAGGGAATTTGTTAGCAATGCTTAAGAAAATTTACCTGTTTTGAACCGAACGACCTACCCATATACCGCCTACAAATAAATCACGAAAAGATTTATTTGAACGCAGTCTGAACCTAAACGCGTGTAAAGATTACATAATAAAATACTTCATTTTTTGTAAATTCGCTGCATTTACCATAAAGTGGCAAGAATGTTTACTGCTAAATAGAAAAAAATTGTGCTATTTTTGTCAAGGAAATTAGGTTAATAACTAACTCTAACACTAACAATCAAGGGATCATCATCATAAATCCCAAATCACAGACCTCTAGCAATCTTCCTAAGAATATCAAGAAAATAAATTCCATCTGAAAACTTTTGAAATGATTTTATTCAATCATTCTCTGACAGTCGGTAGACCCTTGGCATAGTTCTCATTGAACTAATCATTGTATTTATTTGAGACTTTTAATTATGATTTGTTTAAAATTTATCTGCTTAAAACCACACAGCATAATGTTTCCAGAAGATCAGCATAAATATAATGTTTGTCCTATAGAGGCGAAGGCTGTTTCAACGTGCGCCTAATTTCAACGAGATAATTTTGTTGGAAAAATGACTAGCACAACAATTGCTATTGTACAGACAAGGAAACTTTTACCGGTTAGTTAATGAGAACACGAAGTGTTCCTTTATTTCCCCCCGGGTGCTTAACTTACTACAAATCGTACGTATTGCTGTCATCTAGTCTAATGCGCACCTTGGAGTGTTCTTTGTGAAAGGAGTGAAAATGGAAAAATTCAGGTATACATTAAGTTTGGGGTGGAAGCACAAAACTTCAACCTACGTGACCCACCATTTATAAAAAACTTATTTACCTCTTATTTAATTCAAAAGTGCGTATTGCAAAGTAAGTAAACAGAATGGTTATGAAGAATATTTGGTCGTATGCAACTTGAATCTCAGAGAATTACTCAGTTACAGTTGCTGTTCCAAAATACTCGGAAGTCATACTGCTAAAGTTTTTTCGGTAGAAAAACGCAAAATGTGTTATCTGCTTTTTATTAAGGATAGAAAAAATAGATACAATTCACTTGTACAAATTATTGTACAAATAATTCTAATTCTTAAGACAACCTGCATCAAATACAATCAATGAAATACAACTAAGCAGTATTCGGTATACTACA